CATATGTGATCAATTTTTTCCGAGAAGTGGACCAGGGACCGATCTATTCCAAAAAAATCGTATTTACTGTCCGATTTGCTTAAAATTCGGTACGTAGGTAGCTTTTTAGCATATATTAGCATATATGATCCATTTTGTCCGAGAAGTGGACCAGGGACCGATCTGTTCGAAGAAATCGTATTCATGGTCCGATTTGCTTAAAATTCGGTACGTAGGTAGCTTTTTGCCTGGATAAGCTTATAGATTCCTGTTTTCCAATTTTCATGCAATTTCGAATATAAATAGCTTTAAGTCTAATACATGCTAAAAAGCTACCTGCGCACCGAATTTTAAGCAAATCGGACCGTAAATTCGATTTTTTCGAATAGATCGGTCCTGGACCACTTCCCGGAAAAAATGGGTCATATATGCTAATATATGCTAAAAAGCTACTTACGTACTAAATTTTAAGCACATCGGACTATAATAAGATTTTTTCGAATAGACCGGTCCCTGGTCCACCTACCTACCCGAAGAAAAGTAAAATTTTTTTAGCCTAAAACATGGTGGTTACCGAAAGCTATTTGTATACAAAATTTCATGAAAATCGGACCAGCCGTTCGCGAGATTACCTGTTACAAAAAAAAGGGACTTCTCTTTATATAATTAGTATAGAAGTATAGATAAACGGGAATAAATAAGACAAGTATCTTAATCCTTTTAGAAACAATGAATTTTTAATTTATCTTGCTTAGTAATACCCAGGGAACGTGAGAAGACCCTTAGTAAAAGTATCAGATGAATAATTTTCTAGAACACAACAACGAACTTCCAAAGTTGCTTTTTGAGGGGTTTATTGAAGTAGGGGTCGAAACGACTCTTTCGGGCGGGAGCTAATGGGTTAAAATGTCCTTCGAAAATATTTCCCACACGATTTTGTTCAATTTCGATATTTATTTAACCATTTTTCCACTGTTTTGAAAACTACTTGGGACGGGATATGAAAACCTTAGTAGGTCATAAAATAAAAACCCGAGCTAACTTTTGCAAATCCATCGAGTGTTTTATTGCTGGATATGTATACTTTCAGAAAATATTAGCAAAGTCCGAGCTGGTTTGAATTGCCACAAAATTGTCGCAATATATTGGCGCTGACACTTTTGCTTGTTTGGTTTGGTCGATCTTTTCTTCCAATTTGTGGCGTGCACCTTTATGTTGTCACACAAAAAGCAGGGACCTGCAATTTAACGTTGCACCTAGGTAGATTTAGTCGATTTTGGCGGCAAAAAATATTTTCTGATCTATATCTGTCCTAAGAAGATGAAAGAGAGAGACACATTTTTTCGCTGATTTATTATAAAAGCATAGTCTATACTACAACAAAATACATAAAAATAATGCTTCCAAACGTTGTGCAAAACTCAGGAATATTCAATAAATTTACATACAGATGCAACTTTCTATTCCAGTCTCGTAGAAAAATTTTGAGTCCGCAGTTTGTAGCCCATTAAATTTAAGTATAATTAAGTGCAAGTGTAAGTTTCTGAGAAATCGCGTTGATTTTTGGCAATTTTTTTGCTGACAGTTTTCAATGCTGACTGTTTTGGGAACAAAAAAATTTAACCCTAAGCTTATTATATATTTAACTCTGGATGTTCTGCAAGTGGGCCTTAGAAAGTAATTAATAACACAGGGCAACAAAATTGGAAAAAACTTTGTAGCTGCAAATGTTAAAGATGTTTTTGATAGACTTTTTTGTGCTGATTACGAGTCCGTAAGTATAAAGTTTCCATCAACTCCAGACTTTGAGAAATACGAGGTCAACGTGGCAAAAAATCGCGTTTTTGCAATATTTGAGTAGCTGATAGAAGGTAATAGAACTTTCCACTTAGGCTTCAATTAAAGCTAGAATTCTCGACTGCTTTCCCTAAAACACCATCCTTGCACCTTGACCTGATGGTCACTTATAAGTTCTGAACACATTGAAAACAACGAGCTACGGGCCACAGCCAGTGTTGCCAGGTCTTCGGCATGAGAAAACGTCGCTCTTGGTCTGAGAAAACGTCATTTTCTACCCAAATACGTCCTTTTCAAATGTATGCACACAGAATTGTTCTTACTAAACTTTTATTGTATACAAAGGTACATAAGTGTATATGTAAGGTATATTATTCGACAGAGCACATTTAAAATTCATTGTAAACTGGTTTGAGATCGTTAATATAAAAATATTTTTATATATACACTTGTGACCAGCTGATTAAGTCATCAATATTTTGATCGATTGTGGCTGTTTTGCTTTTGTTTATTTAATGTTTATAATTTTTCCATAAAAGCCTAGCTCATTATATAACAAACGAAATATAAATCCACATTTCATTTGTGCAAAAATTGCAAAAAAACTGCAAAGTTTCAGCTAGATTTTCAACTTTTTATTCGGATTTTTAAGAATTTTTTGAGTATGCAGTTTTGTAGCCCATTATTTTCCAGGGTAATTAAGTGCAAGTTTTAAGTTGCTAAAGAATCGTGTTGATTTTTAATATATTTTTTTTCTCTTGTAGACATTTGGTTAGGTGGTCGGTTGTCGAAAATGCTAAATTACGTTCTGCTAAGAAGGAACATAGCAATATTTCAGCCTTTTTTGCGTTCATTACATTTTCAATGAAGTCTTAAAAAAGTCGCCTACTTTTTTCTGACTTTTTATGCTGCTACAGCTTTTTTGGTGCTTTTGCGAGCGCGCCTGTTCAGCTTTCCTGATCAGCTTTCCCTGATTTGGCTTTTAATGTGCAATTGCAAACATTGCAATAAGCCTCGTAACCTCAAGTGTTTACAAAACCAGCCTTTGAATGCGGGATCCTTAATCCAAGAATCCAAAAAATGCGCGTACGCTTGGTTTGCATCGTATTTAAGTCATTTGTGTACAAAGGATAAATATCTTTTGAAGAAGCTGCTGCAAAAAACAAAGCTTGTTACGATTTATTAAGAAAATAATTCAAAATCAGTTCTACTTACAAGATTTAGTAACAGAGAAAAATTATTGGGAAGGTAAAAAACGTAATTTTTTGCACAAAAAACGTCCGAACGTCAACAAGATACAAAAAACGTCCAAATGACGTTAAAAACGTCAACCTGGTAACGCTGGCCACAGCTCCCAATTTGTTATCTTCATTATCTAAACGCTTTGTCGATGACGACATGATTTTTTTTTGAACGCGGCAGCGACATCACGAATTTGTATGAGTTTGACATAAAACAAGAGGAAGAACCTTATCTGTCGCTGGAAAAATGGAAATAAATCTAATCTGGCCACAACCACAGCCGTCGCGTAGCCCGATCGTCGCCAAAATAAATATCTACCTAAGAGTACGTGTTAAAATAATTTGACAGCTTTGGTCCGTAGCTCGTCGTTTTCATTGTGTTCGGGCTAATAGTCATTTATTGAACAGCGAAAACTGATTTTGGCGAAGTTTGAGTATCTATCGCTATTAAAAAAAAAGGTGATGGAACCTTCCACTTACGCTTAAATTGAGGCTAGGACTTTCTACTACAACCCTTGAAAATACCATTCCGATATTTTGATCCTAAGGTCACTTATGGTAATTTATTGAACCGCAAAAACAGATTTTTGGCAAAATTTTATTTTCTATAGCACAATTTTCCATTATTTTTATTTTTATTTTTCAATAAATGTCTATAAGTGACCATCGGGTCGAGGAGTAGGGATGATCTTTTCGGGGATAGTAGAAGAGAGTTCTAGCTTTAATTTAGACTTAAGTGAAAGCTTCTATCACCTTTTGTTTCTTTGTAAAGGCTTTTCACATATTGCAAAAAACGCGATTTTTTTACACTTTCACCACGTTTTTCTCAATATCTGGAGCTGATGGAAACTTTATACTTACGGATTCGTAGTCAGCACATAAAAAATTTAGCATTTGCCTCATCAAAATCAGTGTTGCCCTGTGTAATAGATTGGCGCTTACACATACGTTAGTGTTTGGCCGAGCTTTTCCTTCGATTTATGGCGTGCGCCTTATGTTGTCGTACAAAGGGCGATTGTATTTTTATGAGAAGCTGTTTTTCATGGCAGAAATACACTCGGAGGTTTGCCATTGCCTGCCGAGGGGCGACCGCTGTTAAGAAAAAACCTTTTTTCTACATTTTTATGCGATGTTGCTTTGACCAGGGCTTTAACCCAGGCCCTGCGGAGTGGAAGTGTGCACTGCTTACCACTACACCTCAGCGGCCACCAAAGAAAATAATTAGAAAAAATAAATATTTACTAAATTTTGTTAAAAGGCAATATCATTTCCCAGGTAGATTTAGCTCTTTATCTTTATATTTAGCTCCTAAAGCTGGATTTTTAGCTCCTAGCTCTCTTCCAGATTATCTAGAACTTTTTGAGCTCTAGAAAGTTTTAGTTGCATTTGGTAGTATAATAACATTAAAAATCTGTAACATCATTGTACAAGTGTTGACTAAAACTTACTTGGGTTTGGCGATCTCAGGCTATTTTCGATACCTTCATGTTATTCTATTTCGATTAAGATTTAGAAAAGTTCCATTCCTAATACAAATGGTGGGTAAGTAAATGGAATAAATAAAATAAAAAAAACTGTTTAATATACAACGCTTTTATAAATGGAATAAAAAGTAGAAAATAATATTTCTCAGTCCCACAGAATTTGTTTTGATAACTTTTGATTTTGAAATTTTAGCAAAAGTCATTATAAACAATTAATGACATTGAAAACGAAAAACGTGGAGCGCATGCAATACAAAGCATTCGATTTCATTGACAATAGTCAAACTACATAACATTCTACAGCGAAAGTACAAATTTGAGATCGATTTTAAGCGGTCGTTATTCATATGCCCACATACATACATATGTTACTTTTCATATCAATTCAAGTGTATTACATGCGCCCCACGCTTTTAATTTTCAAAGTCATAAATTGTTTATAATGACTTTTGCTAAAATTTCAAAATCAAAAATTATCAAAACAAATTCTGTGGGACTGAGAAATATTATTTTCTACATTTTAGTCCATTTATAAAAGCGTTGTATATTAAAAAGTTTTTATTTTCTTTTATTTATTCTTTACTTTTTAGTTATGTCTGTACAAAATTTTGCAACAGATATTAAAATAATTCAACTTACAGTGAAAGAGAACAGAAGACTATGCAAGCACAATGTTGTTTGCCCACATTTAGTATAAACATACATATGTACATAAATACATATAGCAGCAGTTTAATAATAATTACTCATTTAAATTGGTTTTTGTATCTAAATCCCGTTAAACTAATCACATTTTCTTGCCAGCTACCAACAGGGTTGCTTAAGTAGCTAAAAGGAAATTTTACCCGAGTTGAGCGTTCTTTTGTCGCTCGCTTACAAAAAAATGCAGCTAGTATAAATGGTGGTCTGGACATACAAAATTCAAAGCGGTCTGGACATACAACATTGCAAGTTGATAAAAGCGTTGTAAAAACGTGGAGCGCATGCAATACAAAGCATTAGATTTAATTGACAATATTCAAACTATATACATTACATAGACCTAAAATTTATACAGCGAAGATTTAATTGACAATATTCAAACTACATACATAACATAGACCTAAAATTTCTACAGCGAAAGTACAAATTTGAGATCGATTTTAAGCGGTCGTTATTAATATACCCACATACATACATATATTACTCTTCAATTTCAATTCAGGCCTATTACATGCGCCCCACGCTTTTCATTTTCAATCTCATAAATTGTTTATAATGACTTTTGCTAAAATTTCAAAATCAAAAGTTATCAAAACAAGTTCTATGGGACTGAGATATATTATTTTCTAATTTTAGTCCATTTATAAAAGCGTGGTACATTAAAAAGTTGTTTTTTTAATTTATTTTATACTTTTTAGTCTTGTCTGTATAAAATTTTGCAATAGGTACTAAAATAATTAAACTTGCAGTGAAAAGAGAACAGAAGACTATGGGCGTGTGTGAATCGGTAGCAAAGTTCTATGGGGAAAGCTGTTGAATAATATTTTTACTATGGTGAGACAGTTTTGCCAATCTGCTGTGTGAAATGAAATCTTTTTTGACAGCAGTAAATTTTTCATAACCGCAGATTTATGCGCAATAAACTATTACAAATTGAGTGAAATTAATATTTTAAGAAAACATCTACCATCATTGATTGCAGTTCATCAACTTAAGCTTTTATTTTACGAAAAATTACACACAGCAACAATCTTTGCAATTGTCAAAATTTTCTATGCATTTGTCAAAAATTTCACTAGCCCTATGGGCTACTGAAATTTTATTCACCTCAAACTTGTCAAAAATTTACTTGCCGCGAACTTTGTTACCGATTCACACACGCTCTATGCAAGCAAAATGTTGTTTGCTCACATTTACGGCCCAATTCTGTGTTTTCTTGATAAATTTTTTGTAAAGAAATTTTATCAAGATTTTTATCAAGTAAAAGCTTCTCTCGTATTCTGTGTCAATATTTATAAAACAAAAAGCTCTACGATTTCCACATAAGTGGAACTGATTTCCACATGTGTGGAACTGATTTCATTGTCACATATGAAAAATATGGATTTAAAAGCAACAAAGCTTTTGACTGTCGTAGCCGAGTAGCTAGAGATGTCGACTATAATTCCGTGCGTCGCAGGTTCAAATGCCGGCACATGGAGTATTTAATTGTTAGAAACAAATTTATTAATATACAAAATGTCTACATTTCACATGAAATTTCAATTTGTCAATAGCATTTTCAATCTTGATAATTTATCAAGAAAAAAGCTTTTGGTTTCTGTGCTAGAATACCAATTCTTGATAAATAATAAAAAAATGACAAATTATAAAGATTTTCAATTTATCAAGTGCACAGAATCGGGCTGTTAGTATATGCCTACATACATATGTACATACATACATATAGCAGCAATTAATTTCATTTAAAGGAATGGCTTGTCGTCCATTTCCGCTGTAGCGCATGTAGTGCATATTTTTAACTTCTTCTGGCGAGGCGACATCTATCCCTAGAGTTCTTCTAATTGTATGTCTTTGATATGATACCTACGACGAGGTTGATATCTAGACTAGGTTTGCCATAAATACCTTTGCTATATTTATAGTATATAAAATGGTGGTCTGGACATACAATACTGCAAGTTGATAAAAGCGTTGTAAAAATGGGCAAGTAGGTCGATTAGTTTCTACAACGTGCGCAGCAGCACACAAAACTATACCGGGCAGTAATTCGAGCTCCGATAAGCTCAGACGGTGGTTTAAAAGGAAAGCCAAAATTTAAGCGTTGATAAAACTACAAGTTCGAAATGCAGTGCAAAAACGTACATTTGATTCCATGGGAAAATGCCGACTCCACCATGAACTCTTCGATCTAGGTAAAAAAATTCAAAAATTAATTAGAAGAAAATCGTTTTTCTGAACGCGCGGATTTTGTATTTACCTTCTTAGTTTTACCGTAAGGAGAGAAGGAGATGAAATTTTTTACAAAAATTTTGCGAAGAATGATTCGTAACCCGAGTTTTTATGGTCAATTCAAATATCCGAAACTGCAGATTTTAACAGTTTGTCAAATATTTTTAGTTCATTGTCTAGTTTATATAAGTATATACATACAAATAATTGCCGTAGCAATGAATTCGAAATACATTATGAACCTTATTTTGGTTTTAAAAGTTTTTTTCAGCACTTAAATTTATAAAATTCGTTGTGTTTATTAAAATTGCGGAAACTGTAAAAACAACTTTACGTCAATAAATGCTCCACTTAAAAAAAATGTAGCTCTTCATTTTAGCTACTATTAGAATTATTTAGATGTTGTTAGCTTTTTTTCGACCATTTTAGCTCCAAACGAAATTTTTCTGGCAACACTGTTAGCATCCATCACTAAAATTATAATTATTCAGTTGTAATCAAAATTATGACAGTTAAAACATTGTTTTCATAAGATTGTTGGGCACAGATGCGTATACTAAGTATAAGTAGCACACACCGGCGTTATGCGTGAGTGGCAGGGATAGTGTGTGGTTCCTAGGCTTGTGTAGTACCAAATAAAGCCACACATTTATGTTCATATATGTTAACTTTTAATAATATCACTTTTGGCCGCCCAAATCGTCTAAATCTATATGTGTGCAACGCCTCCGAAAGTTAATGGTTTCATGATAAGCTTTTTCAAGACAGAAATGCACTCGTAGGTTTTCCATTGCCTGCCGAGGGGCGACCGCTGTTAGAAACAACTTATACTAATTTAGATGTTGATCGGGCTGGGATCGAACCCAGGTCCTACGGAGTGGTAGTACGTACTTCTAACTCAGATCTTGCTTCCTACATAAGTATAATAAAATATGAGTTTTCACGAAAGTGTACTTAGCGACTTCACACTCGAATCTAGTGATATGTATGTATGTATCTATGTCTAATCCATTAATTTTTATATCATTCTTTAATTATAAAATCGAAGCTTGGATCAGTACTTGCGAGATACTTGGTTAATATGTTTGAGCTGGGCTTGGATATAAAGAAATTCCATATAGTTGGTCATTCACTTGGTGGTCAAATGGGTGGTATAATTGGCAGAGAAGTGTACAGGCGGAGCGGCAAAACGAAAAAAATCTCCAGGTATACATATAATATGTATGTATATATGTATTTAGTTAGATTTATATTATATGTATATACAGCGTGGCGACGAATAACTGTTACCCAGTTTTTTTTGAGAAATAAAAGGGTCCTTTATAAATTTTGCGAAAAAAGTATTTCATTGTTAATTTTCCACAGATTTTACTTTAGTTGTATTAGTTAGTTTTTAAATTTTAATCCTTATCTACATTTGCCACCAGTGTAAACTTTGAGAGAAAATTTAATTTTCACGCAAGTCTTTTTCAGGTGTATTTTTTCTTAGGCTTTGTATAAAAAAAGTACAAAAAAGAAAAAAACTGTATAAGGTTGGTCGAATGAATGGCCGTCCTAGTCACCAGTCCGGAGTCTATTAGATTTTTGAGTATGAGGCCTTATTTTGGACAGAAGGGGGAGTATAAGGGACTCAAAATGGAGAAAATTAGCCTATGGTTACAGAAGATATGGAACAAATTAACTGACGAGGACCTGCGTACCAAATGAACTTTTCTCTCAAAGTTTACACTGCTGGCAAATGTAAATAAGGATTAAAATTTTAAAAACTAATTAATACAACTAAAGTAAAATCTGTGGAAAATTAACAATAACATACTTTTTTCGCAAAATCTATAAAGGACTCTTCTATTTCTCAAAAAAACCTGGGTAACAGTTATTCGTCGCCACGCTGTACATGCATAAGTATGTACGTATGGGCATTTCCTGCGTTACGCACGTCCTATGCGGACACACTTTTTTCATAACTTTTTTTTTGTCTTGAATAGCCTCCATTTTCATTCATCCGGCACATGTAAAAATATTTTCCATGAATAGCCTCCAGCTAGGTCACTGGCGGATTGGATTCAGCTTGTCAAATAAGGAAAATTTAACTAGACATCTAAAACGATTCAATCATCCAACTGGTTGAACCCTTCGTTATTTTTCATGCATATGTATGTACCAGGGATGTTGCGAATATTTGCATTCGCATTCGTTATGCGAATGATTCGCATCATTTTACACATTCACATTCGACATCCGCATTCGCATCAAATGATACGAATGTTTTGCGAATGCAAATGTGTACATGGGCAGAGAGTCCACTCTAATATTGTTGAAATGGCTCTGAGTGTGTCTAACCAGTAGCTCGTTTCTGTAACTCTTCTCTACCGATTATTTCTCTACTGGTAGAGAATATACGTCATTCTCTACTACTCATTAGCAGTAGAGAACAGGGCGGCCAATTCAAGTCTCTTCGCCTTGGTAGAGAATTGTTACAGAAACGAGCTACAGGGTGCGGACAATAACCGGCTTTTAGCTTCAGGCGCTAAACGGGTAAGTAGAATATCAAGCAACATTCATGGGTCTTCACCAAGTACCGGGCATTCCAAAGTAACGGGTGGGTCATTTTAACTCGTTTTTGCTCAAACTTTTAGTAAACTCTCTTTAACTATTGATTGGACAAGTGTCAAATTGTTAACACTTGAAGTCAGATATCAGTTTATTACGAAACCGAATATAGTTGGTAGAATGTTAAGTACCATTTTATCCTTAATGGCTTTATTATATTTTCAAATACAAACAAAACCTATTTAAGCTTGAGGCGAGTGGGACAACATTTTGTGACGTGTGGGATGAATCCCCTTTTGAGGATACATAGTTCGTGAGTAAAATGAACACTGCTGGTTTGATGTAAATATTTATTATAATTTTAATAAGGGGACCTCTTTTAAACAATGGGACACTTAGGAATTTGTGTGTTACGTTAAAAAATACATATTTTGCTGTGACGGGTGGGACATCTAGTAAGCATTTTTTTGAACTCTTATAACTTCTTACAATAAACTTATTTTTCTAAAAGGTTACCAACATTTTAAAATTCATGAATTGTTCTTTCTTTTGGATAATTATTCTTTGCATTGTCACCTTTAGTACACGAGAAAAGCCTTGAAAACTTAATGCAAAAATATTACAGCATACTATGTATATTTGTATTTATAAAAATAAAATAGAGCAAAAAGTGAAAAATAAATCGATAAAAATCTATTTCTATAGCATTGTTCTACCTGCTTTACCGTTTTCGTAGATTTTAAAGACAATTTATGTAATTTATTTTTTTACCCGAGGTGTCTTCTTCGCTGGAATGACCCTACCGCTAAGTCATATAAGGAACCTAAAAATAATTTTAGATTCCCCCATCGAAAGCGAAGGCTCGGATGAATCTGCAGACATTAAAAAATGTGAAATCAAAGCTCAATTGAAGGTCTGTCTTAAAGAAAAGCGAGCTCATCTCGGTGAAAATCATCTTGATTGGTGGAGAACTAAAATACGACAGATCTGGCCCGCAAATATTTGAGCGATCCACCCCCCAGCGTTCCTAGTGAGCAATTGTTATTTTGAAGTATAATATGCCCCTTTTGAACTTTGACTACTAGATTAAAACACTGTCTAGGTTAAGTACTCCTTCAATGTTCTAGTAATTTACAAAATGTATAAAATTTTTTAATGGTATTCCTAACATTCGCATGCGCATTCGCGAATGTGAAAAATATGCCATTCGAAACATCCCTAGTATGTACCTAACTATAGATAGAGCCTCGAATAATTTTTATGATATATGAAGCAAGGTGTCATAGAGTGCAAAAACACCCTTTTAACTCTAGTATGACAATTATATTGTAATGCAAAAAATAACAAGATGCAGATTGTACATTGTGTTTATTATTGTGTGGAAGATTTATTTTAAGCAAAAATTTCAAATAACAACCAATTTGTTTACTGGTCGAGCCTCGCCGGGCAATATTGTTTTTATATAAGGATATGTTTTGGATTCTGGAAAAGCAAAAAATCTGCAAAAGCTGGGTTATAAAAGACGTAGACTTGAATTGACTTACGTAGAAACTCAGGAACGATTACTCAGCGAGTCACCTATTACCTTTTCTCTTTATTTTAATTCGCAGCACTTGTATTTGTACACGTAAAATTATAAACGTTTAATTTGTTTTTACACCAAAATGAATAGAAAATTACCATTAAAATAAATGTATACAGTAATCCAGATAGACAAAACCAAAAAAAAAAAATTTAAATACCCACTGGGAAAATCGGTAAGCACAGGCAAGCAGTTTTTAGCATGATAAAAACATTACATGGTAAATTCGTTCTCTCAATTCTTCGGCCATGATTCTTTTCTGACCTTTGCCGACACTTTAAAATCATATAAAATTGAAAATAAAAAAAATTAATTGTTCACAATTGTTGTTGTTTGAGATTGAAAATGAGAATGTGTGTGTGAGTTTGAGTTTTGAATTTAAAATTATATTGTTGGCAAACATCAGGCTGCCTCTCAATGGTTTTACCTTGTTATGATTTTATCATGGTTTTTAGTACCAAAATTGTCATCATGGCCAATGTCATCTACTAGTAAAGCGCAAAACGAACGAAAATTCCCTACATATAGGGATTTTTGGCTGGAAAAATGCGTACGTAGAAGGGCAGATTTTTTATATATCTTAAAATGTAGGGAATTTTTGAAATGTGAATAAATATTTGCATGATTCGGTCGTTTTTGCAAGAGGAATGTGTTGACTGCAGATCGTACAAATGTCCACAATCTATTTTTAAATTTAAGATGGCTAAAAACGTGTATGACCATCATTACAATTTCCTCATTTATGTTTTTTGCTTTTGATGTTTTTTTCATAAATACATTTTTTTATGTTTTCTTTTTTAATAAGCACATACTGTGAGTTATTTAAATAAAAAAGGTATGTATGTATGTGCTATATTGAAATAACAATATATAAGGGTATTTCCAAACTGACGTTATGTGACACTCGTATGACAAAATGTTACAAAAAAATACTAAAAAAGTAAAAATTTTAAAAACGTCTATTTAGATTTGCATAGCAATTCAATGGCCCCTTATTCAGTAAAAAAAATTAAACAGTATGAAGTGGATTTTGCCTTCGTTTACAAAATTGCAAAACCCTGCGAATTGGGCAAGACTATTTGTATAAAAGTTTTTGTAGTAATGTTGGAAATGTTTAAGGCTAATTTTCCAAGTTTTTAAATGTAGAAATATTTTCTGCTTTATGTTTAATCAGCTGAACTATCTGACGTGACGTTACCTGGCGTAACGTTATCTACTCAAATTTCCATTGAAAATTTTTTGTTAATATTGTTCTTGAACTTTTTCTTTTGACATAGGCGCCACCAGCGCCTTAACTTTTTTCAAATCTATGTCTTCTTACGTTCACTAAAAATAAAATTTCGTAAAAGTGCTACGAAAAACTTTCGTAGTCTTGGTTTTTGTACAATGTACGAAACTTTCGTTCATAGTACGAACACATTTTTCACAACGAAACAAGATTTTACGAACCATAGGTAAATATTACGAAAGGACTTTCGTAAGGCATTTTTTCAGTACAATTTACGAAATCTTACGTTTATTTTACGAAACACATTCGTAAAGCACTGAACAAATCTCTGTACGAATAATTTTGTATATTGTAGGAAGGCATTCGTAATATTTACGTATGGTTTTAAAATTTACGAAACCTACATCTCTGTATTCGTACAATGTACGAATATTTTCGTACAATATACTCAATTACCGGCAATTTAATATTTCATCGTATTTTTATGTATCGCGTGTCATTGCGGAATTACTTGTTGTCTGCTGTGAGGCGTATAATATAATTTTAAACGTCTTAAAAAGGGATTTGCTGGATAAAAAACAATACAAAATTAAATATTAAAGCTGTGGATATACTCTGCTTTATTTAAGCATACACTGTTTTTAACATCGCCTACGCTGCCGCTGCTGCAATGTGGGAATTGATAAATAGGCAATTTCATCAGTTACCTATCAGACTATGCCAGGAGCACTACTTAATGAAATTAAAAGTAAGTACATGAATGACTTTTCACTGAAACTTGCTTTTCAGATGCCTTATAATTTTCCTCTAATTTATAGTCGTTAAGGAAACAGACATCGATGAAGC